CCCCCAAAACCCCAAAACCCCAAAACCCCAAAATTTCTAGCAGAAATTGGAGACTTTTAAAACAAATGGGAAATAATCTTTTCAAATCTACGAGTCGCAAATCTACTAAGGTCAAGATGAAGCAGAAAGAGTATCAGGTAGTCTTACAAAAGACGATTGCACAGAGAGAGGTACAGATCGCTACCAGCTTAGTCTTTAAGCACTTTGAAGATGATCTTGTATCTGACACTCATGATGGGTTTTCTATAACCTTAAGCTTGGGTGAACCTCACGAGAAAGATTTTATCAAAGAATTTAATAAGGTGTACCAAACAGCTCCTTCTTTTAACATTGATATCAGTTGATCAGATCCTCAGAGTTTGAAGGCCATTAATAAGATTCTACAAGAGAGTTTAAGGAGAAGAATCCGCAACTTGGCACTCCTTCCTTCAAGCATTTTCGTTGAAAGCAACTTCGACTCTTACACAAGAAATTTTAATAAAATTAGTCAGTTCGTGTTAAATGAGGTTGAGATTTTCTGGATGAAAATTTCAAGGAAAAATATTGAGACTATCATCCACAGAAGTAGTGGGATTGGAAGAGTCATCTTCCACCAATGATATCTCGAAACTCAAGGGCTGGCTTTTAAAGATACGATAGACTACAAAATTCAGCACCTTGGTTTCTTTGGATCAGGGGCGTCACAGTATAGCAACTGGGGAGATTCAAATGAAGGATTCGAAAACATTATCAATGCAATTTCAAATTGATCAATCAAAAGCTCCTTAAAAAGTCTTGATCTAAGACTTTGCCAAATCTGTGGAAAGAACATTCGGCCAATCTTGGAGAGATATAAGATAAGAAAAATAGTTGTATCTTGGAATCACAAAAATGAAGGAAAGTATTATCGGCTAATTTTATAAACCATTCTTCTAGAATTCATCATTTCAAAGCTTCACACTAAACCATTTATTAAGGAGCTAGTGTTTTCAATCATTTTTATTAAGAAGGGGTTTTGGGGTTTTGGGGTTTTGGGGTTTTGGGG